TACCCTAAATTCAAAATACGATTTCTCAACAACAAAACAAGATATTTGGCCAAACTTACCTGCATTTAATAGCAGTTCTTTTGCGCTTTCGAATGAATGTAAATGTATGTAAAATTATATGCGGATTGATTTTTAACGATTTTTAAATATTTGATTCGCATACCCTAATTTTAACGTTTTCCGTTGAATAGAAGTCGGCTCTAGGTAAATTCGTAATTTTACTATCTAACATATTGCAATATTTTATGCATATGATACCTATAAGGTGCGCTAAATTCAGTATTAATTTCATGGTAATTGCATTGCTCGTTATGCCAGTATCCTCATTCAATCACAAACGTAGGGGGGTGGTCGGTGACTTTTGAGACGGGAGTGTAATATACTAATACGTCATTGATTAAGTTCGTATTCACATCGCGCACTGTAACGCGCAAAACATTTTCTCTCATCATATCATGCCTTTTAACATCTGGTTCAAGTATGATGAAAGCCAGCCAGCTAAAATCAAACTTGATGGAGAGGATGTTGACGACTTAAAGGAGGCGATAAAGAAGAAGCTGGAACCCAAGTTGAACGATGTGTCCGTTGATGACATTGCGCTCCGAAAACATGGGGAGGACGTGGATCTGGAACCGGATAGTCTAGTGGAGGAGACCCTTGGTCCGTCAGCCTGAGAGCCGCTGAAAGTCGTCGTCACCCGAGGTAAGTAACAAAGAGGGCGTTGGGGACATAGAGTATTGTGTACAGGATTGTAAATTCAGTTATGGAGTGAGCTTACAAGTTCTAATTTCTGTTCCGTTATTGCATTCAGAGAGTGAGCGAGCGTTGAAGAGACCTCGTATTGATAGAACTGCCATCATTTGTCAGAAACTAATACTTAAATTTGAAACGATTCCCACCCGAGCGGATCAACTCGGACCTTTTATAAATGCACAACTTCTTTGCAAGTTGCCGGCGTCCAAGCACGAGGAGGAGCAGGTTTGACATCAACCTTTTCCGTATACATAGTGTTGTGACTACCCGCATTAATAGTGGAATCAACCATTTTTGCAAACTTTTAGTACCCTGAGCTTTTGGAACTGATCTATACAAATGAAGATGACAGTTACAGTGATTTGGCTAGCCATATTTCTGTAGCGCTAAGTAGACAGTTTAACGACAATATCTCGGATATTGAAAGTGAGGATGATCTGCATCACATCATAGATTGTTTGATCAAAGACACACTTCGTCTGTTCAGTCGTAATGCTGTGCCTGGAAGCCTAAACCTTTTGATTCGTCGCAACACTGTAGATAGGTAAGCCTTCATCTGGCATTGCCTTGCTGTGATTGTGTTTACAGTTTTGTGTTCTGATTTACTCTGCAATTGCTTAGGGGGTGGACAACCACAACAGTAGTAGGTACTTGTCGGCCAGATTTCCTTGTTCACCATAAAAATGTTCTCATGCTCAAGGGCGAGGAGAAGGCTATTCCAAATTCATTTCATGAAGCTTTGGGTGATCTTACGGATAAGTTTGATAAGCTCGATCCTCTTTTTTTTGGTGATCAACAATTTCTTATCTGCTATGCTGTGGCTGGATGGAAAATCGGCTTCTATGCCATTGATGGTACACCAGAGGCTGCATCAAAGCCAAGTCGTTTAATCACTCTGTCACCTCAATTCGACCTCCGGAAAGTCACAGATCGGATTACTGTTATTTCTGTGACTATTAACATATTGCGAATTTTAGTGACAATAGGACCTTATCTTCCCAACGATATTATCCCCCTTTATTTACCGATTCAACAAGCTTCAGGTTCAACAATTACATTCTACGATGACTCAGTTGTAAAGGAGCTTAGTTTCCAATACCTTCCATATGTTGATGGCAGTGTGAGTGAGTGTATTGCATTTCTAAGAGGAATGTATGATTATGCGAAAGGATGTTTGAGTCTTGTTCAGCTTGCAAAGCGACCTATCAAAGGTCGCTCGACATACAGCTTGATTATGACTACGCGTGGTATTCGAAGATTACCATGTAATGAGACTGAGCTGCGTTCGATGGCAAGAAGCTTACTTGTTGGGCTGGACTGTCTGCACAGTGGCAATTATGTACATCGCGATATTCGAGAACCCAATGTCCTGTTTGTGCCTGAAAACCCTGCTGGTTCAAAATATGTACTTATAGACTTTGAACATGGAGGTAAAGCTAATGAGAAAATGAATGAACGATTAAGTGGTTGGGACCATAGGACCCTTTCCAACAGCCAATACACTATACTATCTGACATATACCAGTTGGGGAAACTGATAGAAAGGATTATGATGCGCTTTCAAATATCAGTTTCAGATAATGGAAAGACTTTTGTGATGAAGTTGAAGGAGAAGAAAATGAATGCTGAACAGATGCTTCAACATGCATGGATCACAGATGCAAACCTTTGATAATGTTGAGTTGGACGTTTTTGCAATCGATTTCTATTAAGCCTTTACTTCGTAAAAACTTGTACATATTGCTCAGAATCTGAAATTGGTTCTCTGTTAATTGGGAAGGGGTTATTGGATATAAATAATGCAACAAATGTCACCCCATATCAAGAAATTTTACTAAATCAGAAAAAATATATATAGGATTATCCGTGTATGGAAATTTACAATTTACTATTAGCAAATACTTTTACTATCCGAATTAATGCCGTCTCCATTAATCAAAACGCAAAGCCAAAACAATTGTGCACTATGAATAGCCGTTAAAATCAATGCAAGCTGACCTGTTTATCGAGCCTGAACTTTGAAATTGCCCAACGCAGCAAAATATAGTGAATTCTTTTACAAATACGGCAATATGCGACTACCTTTATATTATGAAAGAACAACGCAATTATGCAATTGAATATGATGGCAAATGACGAAAATGTTCGATACCACTATAGAAAAATAGCAAAAAAGAATAATAAGCTTAAGCGATGAATGTGGCAATTCACGTATTTTATTTGTTTATTTGTTTATTTATTTTTTAAATATTATATCGTAATCTCAACATGCAATTTTATTACACATAGTAATAGCTATTATTGTTAATTAATGACCAACTCATATCCAAAAATTTACTTACATATTATCTGTTGGCCCCTCTCGTTCATCAATTCTTAACAAAGCTCTTCATTCCTTCCATTTTTCAGTTGCTGCATGGCTCAATCCGGCCATTTTACGCGTTTTCTTACTCAACTCCGTTCCCTTAAACACTTGCTTAGCATCCTTCCGCAAATCCTCTTGACGGAACACTAAATAAAATATCATTATGGTTAATATATCAGACTGATTCTAAAGATATTTTGGAGTTATTTGTTAGAACTCACAAAGTCTATCCGCAAAGTGATGATTAGTATCACGATGAGTTGCTTCATCGGCACGAACAGCCAACACGACATCTCGTAACGTGGCTGTATTGCGATCCAAATTCCAGTAATCGATAGCAAGGTCTGGTATCTTGTTCGTGTTTTCGATATGGCCATTGTCGATTTCGTTCAAAAAAGAAGTGTAGCTGACGATAGCTTCTTCTTCAAGATAACCGACCATTCGATGAGCTGTCCTCGGACTAGCCAAATACAGCGCGAAGAAACAATTGTAAAACACCCCTTGAACAACAGCAATCAAGGTGCGCTCCCATAATTTAGGCTGAGATATTGCCATCCACGTCATCAAATGCATTCTGTAAGAGCAACAACAGAATCAACGGTAGTAACATGCATCGTATTTTCGACGAGTTCCTTTATTAAGAAAAAGAAATTTCACTCGTACCTTTCATTTTCTGCTTCATGGAGCAAATGGTCAATCCATCCACCATCGTGCTTCAATTTCCTTAGTGATCGTAGATGACGAACTGTGGCAGCAACCAATCCAGGAACAGCAGCAACCTTCAAACGTTGAAACGCGTATTCATTTACCATATTGATATCAATCTTTTTTTCCCCCTTTCTTGTCGATTCGTTAATTACTCACCGTCTCCAACATAACTGCTCGATGTATATACTTTTTTTTGAAAAACCAATCGGTTGGTTTCCTTAACAGTTTCACTGTTGCAAAAGCAATCTTGTCAGACCAACCGACAGGTTCACGATGGCGATCGATGTCGATATCCCAATTTTCCAGATCTTTTGTAGTCAATGGCTCAGTTGACTCTAGAATCTCGTGGCGAACTGGTTTAGGGTCATTCATTGTATACAAGAGATCAACAGGTATATGGCCTATGTGATTACTGGAAGTATCGCTATTTTTGGCTGACGACATGGTGGTATTCCCTGTTGATGCTGTTTGTATATGCTTTGAAACTGAAATAAAACGGATAGATGACCCACGTACCAGGATGCCAGCGTGCTGAGAATGCCATGGAGCAGCACTGCCTCTCAAAAGAAATGAATAGCTACGAACGATCGAACGAAACATTTTAACTTGATGGCTAAAAAGTATGTTTGTTAAATAAGAAATTCTCCTTTTAATATATTATTTCTGACATACCTATCCGGCCCGGTCCGCTCCGGTAAGTTAAATCATAATCCAATCGGTTTTGAATGTTGTCATGACATCACAGTATGATTAATCCATTTGTTACACATATTCCGTTTTTTCAGACTAAATCGAAAATAACACAATAGTAAACGACCTTCTTGTTAGCCATCGGGCGCCATTCTGTGTTTGGATAGCATGTCATTCCGATTACTATTACACTTTGCGGGCAGAAATCCGGATTATCCCGATAATCAATAATCATTATTGAGTCACCCGCATAACCCTGAGGCTTTGAAGTCCTCGTTAGAGCGGAACCAAGCTTCACTAACACATTTCTGTTCTGGATTGATTTTTGATTTGAGTATTGGATGTTGCCCCTTATACTCTTCTTCGCCTGTAGGTTATATATTATTGTAACGATTATAGTATGCTTTCCTATATAACGTGGATGCTATATGATGCCTTGTGAAACTTCTGACAATTAAAGTAATGTCTTACGATAAAACATACTCTGGCTGTTTATAATAAATAGGTGTTTGCATTACAAATACTAAATGCTTACAACCAATTATTGGCTGATCATGCATGAATAAAATATAGATAATGATATCTCTTTTTCTTTTTTCATTTACAGATAATTTGAATAAACAATCAATCCGTCAATTTATAGGGTTAAACTTATTCTTTGCGTGAACATTTGTAAGTTGTGGGAGGAATTGAATGATTATTCAATCAATCGAAAGCGATCTTGGCAAGGTTGTATCATAAGATTGCCAAGGAAATTGGCGAATAAGGGTAGCAATCATGATGTTACCTTTAGAAATATTCACTGAAATCCGAAAGAAGATATATTAAAAACCATGGCAAAACAGAAGGTGTAACAGATAGTGAACCAGAAGTTAAGGATACTGGGCGTGGGAAGAAACTGCCATTTTTTTTATACTGTGTAAAGGACCCAGAATCTTAGCAGGCATGTTTTCATGCTCTATTCCTCCTTCTTTGTCCCTAGCCTGAACTTTATCTATATAGTATCTTGGCCGCCCATATAATTTATTCGCCACATAGCCATTTTGTGACTGCAAGCAATAAAGTGCATCCGAATTTTGGGTTATATTTTCGAAGGTTCTTATAATTCAAGCAATGGGCTACGTTTATCTTGCATTTGTAATCTATCAGAAAAGTCTGCGGCGAAATTCCAATGCGCTGCTAAAACCCATATAAACACAAACAATAGAAAACGTCTAGTTGCAATAATTGCAAATAACTTCTTCGCGCTTGGCTCTTCTTTGATGAGACCCGAAAACTCTAGATTTACTATGTACATTGTTTACTAGTGAATTGAGAACTTTAGAATATTCTAAAAAATTATATAGTGTGTTGTGCCGACTACTGTGGGAGAGCGATTAGTAATCGACACTTGGGATTTAGCTATCGTCGGCGGAGCGTGGCCTCTCCTATCAATAATTAAATCTACTTTACAATTAGTGACCTTGTAATCCCAAGCCTTTCACTTAACCTCAGCGCCGTTAAGTGTACGCTAATCCTAGATAACGTAATTGTCCTCGAGTCAAAACAAATGCGTTTCTAAAACAATTAAATTACCGTAATAAATACCATCCGGATAATTGTAGGACAAGAGACAATTAATTATCTTTCGTCGATATAGAGATTAGCGAATTTAAACTATACTAATACCGATCAATTCAGGGAAACTAAGCAATAATATGTGTATTCAGAGTAAATGCAATACTCGTTTATTAATAAGACAGTGATATAATAGTAAAGATCAAGGAGGCGAAACAACCGAACTCTAGCTGAAACTTGCGCTGCTTTTATATCTTTCGATCCCACTAATTAATCTATTTTTAGCGGCGCTAGCTAATTTATCTATCCATTGGCTATTGTCCTGTTGTCATGACAGCACTTTCGATTGTTCTGGTGTCGTCTGATGTCGTCTGATGTCTGTGCTCCTGTTGCGACACCCGCACTCTCCGAACGGCTAGAATCTTGTAACTTGTCGGAGTTGCGCAGAAATCAGAGAGGAATACGTCGTCATCTAATTCCGCTGCGCATCACAACTTCAAGAGTAACAGACCTTCCATGTTGTCTTTTTGTGGATATAATGAAGTTGGTTTGAGAACATGTGAAACGAAGGAGCCACAAAAATGGTAATCAGGAAACGCCAAGCGCTTTATTATAATTATATTCCTAAACTTCCTAACTTCATGCATTTTTAGAATCCTATTCAATGTAACCGATTGCGTTATAGTTAGTCATTCTGCCCTAGCAAAAGGCTTCTGGGATCTACGAACTCAACTGGCAATGAATTAAAGAAATGAATAAAATATTAAAAGCGCAGTTGCAGAAGGCTTATCAGTTATGACAACGAAATTTTTATGGAATACTGGATTTTACGATAATGTCATCAGCATAAGCGCATACAAGCAGCTAGTGACATTACGCTAATTGAGCGAGAATATGTATAAGAATATCGAGTTTCTGGTATAAAATAATCATTTTTTAGAAATTTACTCCGTAGACATGATTAAGTAAACTTATCATTTGCGGAAGGATGAATCAAGTTATTGTAAAGTTTATTGAACGTAAATAACAATTTACTCAGCACAGATTCTTCGAATATCAAGAAAGTTTATACAAGAGCTATGGCTGTCGATTTAATATATGAATGCAGGCATGGAAAATACATATCAGAAATAAATCTTGCAGAGTGCACGATCGAAAACCATTATTATATTCGATGGAAATATCACAAATTCGGGAAAAGAATAAGGCCTAAAAGGCGATGGTTTTTAACATAAAACGAGTGGTAAATCTCTGGCTAAATTGCACCCAGACTGTGCATCAACATAAGGCTTTATTTACTAAAACTTGCTTTAGTGCATCTCCGCAATAAAGCCATTCTTGATCAGTGTAGTTGCATTATTATGTTAGCAATAACAAGAGAACAGTGTTCTGCATAATGTCTCGCAAGTATTGACAATACAAACACTGTAGATTATAACTACAAGTAACTAAAATAATCAAATAATACAGTTATAACGGATTCTACGGGATTGAACAAAATCTTCTTATAACCAAAGTATTGAACATTGTAAGTATTTTAAATTGATTTTACTATATCCAAAGTCGCATATTTATTATCTTTATAATACTGTATGATTTTATCCAGTTACCAACAAAGTTAACCCACAAACGTTTTCGAATAGTCGGACAATAGCGTTGAAATCGAAGCACTGCTCCAATTATATTATCGAGAATGTCATTTTTAATAATATTTAGTTAACAAACCCATCCGAATAAAATTGATACACTATTTTTTTGGTAAAGATATTTTCAAGACACTCAATTGCCTCCTTGTTCGGTTACTTTGGAAATTTCGTCGGTTTCTTATTTCCAAAAACATTTTAATTAACAATTTCTGGTCAGTTTTTCCATCAGCCGAATTTCATCATTAACGGATGATATTGTCGGAATTTCCTAACAATAAATCGATGCAATACTGTACTTTATTTTTATCTTGCTGGATATTTTTTTCTAGTTTCGATAAAATAATATCCAAATCGTCGTTATATAACGGAAGAATTCCAGTCTTAATCGAGCTATCTCAAGCGGAGGCTGTCATATGAATCGCATTCAATATTGAGAATTTCGAAGGATTCTTTTTATTCCTTTAACAGACTCTTGGATTTAGTTTCCACAAAGTAGCTATCAACATAGCCTAAACGCACATTAATAAATTATTAAGCTTGAGATCACGACTAAGCAAACGACATGTATTATTTTCTATCTCAAAACTATAGATTATTCCGGTTCGTATGGTTGAAAATAAGCTCTTGTATTTACTGGTTTTACTATTACAAAGAAAGAAATTACCAAAGAGTTGACAGAACCACAAGTAACTTCAACTTGTCTTAATCAGACTATTATTTATTGCTCTTCGTATTACAAGAGTCAATTATATCTAACAATGATGACTGCTTTAATAGAACAAAATCACCTGATGTAGATAGAATTTTACCGAACTCAAACACGGAATTTCAGATTACATGTTACGTGAATTGCACTAATTACAATTAGTAAAGAGTAATTTGCAAATGCAACTTTTGTGATCTTCTCTGCTCGGCTCACTTCTTTTCTCTCGGTCAAAAGTCTAATTTATCACGATGGCTATTTTTAGTAAATGTTTAGGGTGACTAAACTGGTTTGCAGCGAAGCCAAGTAATGCCAAGGGGATAAGTGAGTCACATGATGCACGATTGCCCAATCATATGGTACATTCGGATTTGGCAAGATATCCGACACTTCGGCTGAACCCCATCGGCTAATACCGCAAATTAGCGTCATATATCGTATGCATTATCGACATAGTAAACAAACATAGAAATTATTATACGTTTTTCGACTCATCTCTCTTAATCGGCACTTTATTCTTTATTCTCCTTGAACCGGCTGCTGTTTGACTTGTTTAAACATTCTATTTCACTCGGAATATCTTCTTACTCAATTATGGAATTTGTAACACTGATACGTGACACCTATGTCACATATGTAGAACCAATGCTCCTCGATGTATTATTAATAGTAGAAGGATGAATGTTTAAGAATGGGTTTTATTCGAACATCACTCGCATCTTGTTTGCTCTAATGGCCGATCGAGAATTGCCTTCGCAGGCTCGATTTCTGTATCCCATAGTTGTGCCTTATTCGCATGTGTTACAAGTCATACATAATAATAAACTGGAATATCCGTTCAGCCCTCGAGACGCCGGCAATATTACACTTGAAAAGCCAGAGGGGCTTACACAGCATTGTACAAATAGAAGAAATCTTAGATCAATTGCTATTGACATACCCCATTTTGGCCCCGGAATGCAGCCAGTAAGATAAATAAGCAGCTGGTAAAAAATAATTCCGGAATCTGCAATGCTTTCTTTTTGGTGATAATGCGTAGTATGAGAATGGGTTTCGGACCAGTTAATGGGGTATAAATAAGCTTAGGATTTCCAAAATAACATAATTTATTCTATATTATCATCGAATCTTCTGATATGAGCGGTCCCACAAATACTGTTTGTATGCATCCGAATATAAAGACTGAAGATGTGTTGTACCACGCGCCTTTCTTTACTAATTTGGCTCGACTAAAAGAAGTCAAAACAGAATAAAAAAGAGCGTTATGCACGACTAACAAGCAATCGAGCAATAGAGGGGTTTACTAAAACAAATCGTTAGTTATCGTTATAGCTTATAATAGCATAGAAGTTTGCCTTTTTTTTTTCCCCTTCTTGACACATCGCCTCGTTAATCATGAACCCTCAAAACCTATTCGCTCAACAACGTACATCACATTTCGTAAACGAGCAGGAGGCGCCACACGGGCGACGACTAACTGTGCAAGAACTACTCACCGACAACGCTCATAACATAAATAGCGTTAATAGTGGCAATATAAACGTTTCTCCTATACATAACCATCCTATACATGACCAACAGCACAACTATCATTCATCATATCCTCCGTCAACTCAACAAATACACGATATAAACACCATTCATGAACATAATAATCACTTATCGGCGCGAGCTGTAGATTCAGCAAGCCCTACATCGTATTTCCGGCCTGTAAGCGGCTCCGAGAATAGAAATGGATACTCAAACATGTTATCTCGCTCTCTACCTTCTAACGATGAACTAGAAGACGACGGAAGTTATGAGAGTAGCATCAACCCTAATTATGTAAGCTACGTTAACGACTTGAATATTTCTACCCATGATACGCATACACTATCGCCAACTTCACCACCACAATATGCCGTTATGCCTCCAACTTCTCCCGCTACTCCCGTATCTCCTAACCAGCAGCCTCATGCAACAATACCATTATCTGAACAGCGTGAACGGAACAAGATAGCCTCGGCCAAGTACCGTAAAAAGAAACAACAGCTGAATCAAGAAATGTCTACTCGCATAAACGAGATGAACTCTAAAATAAGCTCGTTAGAGACCGAGAATACAATGTTGCGGCGGCAGTTGGAGGAAGTAAAAGGGGAAAACCAAGAATTAAGAAATACCATCGATAAACTAAAGACTAAGCTAGCCAGGGATAAGATCTTCAAAAGATTGGAGAGAGTTTCGGGGACAGGGAGAAGTCGAAGGGGGGCTGGCGTAAACGTTGTTATGTCAAGGAATGAATAAGGAACGGGGCGGGAACAATGGTAGAAATGGATAAGCTCAGACCTAAGGCTATAAGCAATATAGAACAAGGCCTATGCTTAGTGTAAATTATTCGATAAAGTATAAATAAATATATTCGAGTGTAAAAATTGCTTGGTTTGTGAAGAATATTTAATTTCATTTCTATTTTCTTATGTCTCGGAATCAATCAATGTGTGGTTCCTCATGTAAGCCAAAAGTGAATTATATTCAGACAACGTTATCCACTTTGTAATTTCTCACTAATTAACACCAATCCAGCTCCTAAGTGGGAGAATCATTGTCGACGCTTATAATACTGTAGCCGTTCAGATAACCCTTTTGCTTTGGGTCTTTGTCTAGTGATTACTTTGTTTACGGACAATCTCTTCATGTGTGGAATTGTTTGGAAGGTTATTCACAAATCTTTCCGGAGTTTTGCGTTCCTTTATTAGTTACACCTACGATTGAACGCTAAAGGTGTAACAAATCTTTCTGAATGGGCGCATGAATGAATACTTGTTTGTAAGAAAAAAATTTTCTGTAATCTTTTTTACTACAAAGTCGGTCGGCAGTCGGGATTGCCGAAGGTTTGTAAGGTAATACATAGTCAAAAAATTCCAGAATTGATTTGGTGGAAAAAAAAAAGGGATAATTTAAAATTCATTATCGATAATAAATAAGGTGATGTTTAGGTTACACTATATAATAATAATAATAATAATGTATCAAACCGTCATTGTCTAATTAATAGTATATTAGTATAGAATCAAATGATACAATACTTAAACTTTTGACAGGGGTGTGCGATAAAATTAGGTCTTTCGATTTGTATCACCGAGTCACAAGATCGACTTGGTAAAACAAAAAAAAGTCTATCGTTTGTACTTTTTCGGCCGTCTTATCTCTTTCATCAGACGGCATTACAAGTTAGAAAATAGCAATATGTACAACGAACCTCGTTTTTCTGCTGATTAAACTGAACAGTCCCTCTTTCTACACAGAATATTCGAGGTGTGATACTGTGATTCCTGCTGGTAAACGTGTTCATGGTTGAAAATAAACGTTCTTATCGCTGCTGTGTTGCTCAGCCAAGGCACACGAAAGCTTCCCTATTTGGGAGGAACAATAAGGATTTATGGAAACCATATCGATCCATGGCAATCTCAGTTTCCTGATATATTTTACCGCAGTTTAATAAATTCTGGATGCTTGTAATGCTGGTTCTTGAAATAGACGGGAGGGGTTTGATCTTATTAGTCTCGATTATTTCTCAAATCGATTATTTCGCCGCATTTATATTAGGCTTTTTTATTCACTATTATCATTATGATAATCAATTCAATAATCTAACGTCATGCAACAAAAATTTGATGCTCAATGGCGTGATTTATTCAAGTTATTATTGGTAATTAATGATTGTACGAGTTACGATCCCTGAAACGTGTATATCAATCACGTGATTTTTGAGAATTCTAAATAAATATGCTTGTCTAATGGTTTCTAAAAGCAAATTTGACGCAAACGCGGTGACATGGACTACGCTAACCCAGAGCCAACATTTCCATTTGAATAATGCCTGCCTTGCATGCTGCAATAAACCAAGCAAACTGAACGGTTTGATGCATAAGGCTGATATCGCTGAAAATATTAAATATAACATGCCCTAATGTGTCTTTTCAACATTAACTAAAACTCACCAATCGCGGAAGTACGTGCTGACCTTGGGATTTAACTAATTTCAAACAGAGCTGTGACTATGCAAACATTAAAGAAATATAACAAAATCCAGCGGAAGTCGCACTTCTTATATATCTAATCGAGTGCCACTTTTCTCTACTATTATTGGCGTGTGCAAGTATATCAGTATGAATTAATTGTTCATTGGCATACAACGCCGTGGCAGCTTTGTACGGTTATCACGAAAGTGGCAACGCCGAAATTCTTGTGACACCGTAGAAATTCAGGGAGGGAATATACTGTACGTCATTCTTCGTATACCTTTAATAGACTTGGTTTTAAGTAAACCGAGAGTTAGAGTGAATCAAATAAACCTTACTATTTCATATATTCGTTTATTATTCAGAACAAAAACAAAAAAAAAAAAATACATAATTAGCTCTGCGTAGAAATATCTGCTTGGTACAGCTGTTAGGCAAAGACATTTATAGACGATACACATAAACACACTCATTCCAAGAAGAATTAACGAGCCATATTTTTATATGTTTAAGTTGTTTAAAATTCAATGATAATTCCCTGGTTACTTACAGAACTGTCTCTCAACTATTATATAATATTTAATTCTCTCAATCATTATTGTCTCCAATGTCGCAGTAGAAAGAATTTATAAAGAGTGGAATTTTTAAAACTCACTCAGAAAAAAGAACAAACAAAAAAAAGCAAATGTAATTGTTATATCTTGCTCTTGGCAGAATAGATGCTTCTTATAGTTTTAAGCTAGTTCAAGGTTACTTAATTTAAAAGATGATTAGTGTTTCAAGGTTTACGAGTTAGTTTATTTAGCAAGGACACCATTTATTCTGAATTCAACATACAGTAAATATTAATACGTCTGTGATATTAGTTTTATTGAAACCTGAACTCCATAATAAAAGATATCTTCTTAATAGACGTCATCTCATTCGGTTAATCGATTATAGTCAAGAGTGTTTTTCCGTCTTTGTTGGAATGACTTGTTGACAAGACGAGAATAAGGATCAAAAAGACATGAGACGAATATTTTGTTACAACTTTATTGGCAAGCCACTATTGTTGCTAAAGGTTGCTTCTTGCTTAGGCTTTATTTGCACACCAAGGCATCGATTATAAGTAGAACAATTTTACTCTGCAACCATAAATTACATAAACAGCGATGTTTAAAAAAAAAAAGGCACAAAGGAATCTCCTTCTAACTCATTACACATTGTTCCAAATAATTATAATATGATTTTAAAAGCCTAAAAGGTGCTGTTTATTGATTTATTATTTAATATGGGATGCGATCACCATTATTTTCTATAATTAGTTCACATCGATGCTTCATCGAATCTATTAAATTAATTAGACAGTATTTGGAATATTGTCCCACTCTTCAGTCATAAACTGTTCTAACTCCTTACGGTTTTTTGGTTTACGCCTTTCCACATTTGTTTTAACTATGTTCCAAAGGTTTCGATAGGATTAAGGTCAGGACTGCTGTTGGAGGGCCAGTCCAAAACCATTGGAACATTGTTTAGAGAAATTCCTTTGCAGTACGCGAGGTATGCTTAGGATCATTATCCTGTTGGAAGCGCCATCTGCTTCTCTTATTTCTGGAAGGCGTTGTTCTAATATTCCAACATAAAAATTTGCATCCATAATATGACTGGAGCAAAAGAGACTTTTGCACAGAAACCACCCCATGCCATTATTTTGCGTCGATCTTTCGGCATTGGGCGTATTGGCCTTAGCCAGTTCAGCCGCAAAAGCCAATAATTCAAAATAATTATACGTCGGAATAGTCTTAAATCCAAGAGTGAGCAAAATATCTCTTTGTCCACCCGGATAAGGTGCCCAATTCACCCCAACCCAAAGTGTAGTTTAAGTTTGAATTTTCTTCTTCGACGGCAAATTTTAGTAAGGAATCCAGGATAGAATGCTTGGCGGCTTGGATCTGGTTCGTCAATGAAAATCGTTCGTTTCCAATTGTCATTTAAGTGTTTTTTGGCCCATATTACCCGATTTTCTTTATGAGCATGGGAGTGGTAAGGGGATGGTTATTTTTATAACCATGTTTGCCCAAATGAAGTCCTACAGTTATGCGAGAGACCACAGTTTCTTCCTCCTTTAATTTACTTTAGTATAAATGGTCGGGTTTCTTCGAACGTACTGGTCAATTCTGCGAGCATCAATATTAGTTATAACTTTTTTATGATCATTTCCCCCTCTGTGCTTTACATCTCCTTTTTCTCTGATTTTTTTAAGTTATAATAAATTGTTCTCGTTGGAATGATTGTATTTTTGGGGGCTTACGTATTCCCTTCTCCAATATTATAATATCGTTTGTCGTTGTCTTTCGTTAACGGAGATATTTTACACTTTTGTTTTGAGTAAGTTGAAAATAAGTCTGTTTGGAATGATAGTCTATTATAAGCTTTGTTTTGATCCATTGATTACGCGTTTATTTTGAAAATTGACCGAGTTACACATATGCGAATTATTTGTGCCATATTGGTGGCAATGTATTCTAATTTGTTAGTTTATTGTGACTATCTGATTGCCGACGATACTATACCAATCAGAATCTGATTTTTGGACTTCAACCAATGGTTACTTATTTTAATCAAGATGGTTAGACATGGATTAATAAGTTTGAAAAAAAGAGCAACAGGAAAAGTTACAATAATGTTAATTATCTGGACCATAATGTTCAGGCAGTCATTGATAAAAATCGGAAAAAGTAGCTGAAAGTTTGACAAATCTGTTTTGAAGGATTTTTTTGTGAATCATTGTATAAGTTCTTGAAATAAAGTCTCACATCAAACTTTTCGATCGCCCCACGTAATTTGTCATCTGTTTCCTCTGCCCTTGCCAACTTGTTTATCATAGCAGTTGCTTTGCCTTACTAAATAATTTTAGTATGATATTTTATTCAAATTAACGCGTTGTATATTGTTTTAGAATTTTTTTTATAGCCTAATATTAAATATTTTGGCTCTGCCATATGAGGTTTTTTGGTGCTCAGACAAATTTGTGGTCTAGCAATGATGACTACTTGCCATATTTCAAATATATAGATATAGATATATAAATACAGTAACGTGCAAAAGTATCCTACCGGTTGTATCATCTAAACGTACATAATAATAACTCCTTAAATTTTCC